AGCATCTCTGAGACCATCCTTGTTAATTAGCATATGCATGACTGCTGTCTGTCAACATCCAGCTGCACAAGTGTGACAGTTTATATGCTTATATACAAGTTTCATTCAGTCTCTTATTTAGATAAAGCTTATCCTATTGACTTTTAATTAGTCTTTGCAAGGGGAGTTTATATTATGATACCATAATACCTGTTTCCTACCATCCAAAGCCAATTTCATTTTATTCTGTGTCATGTACGGTGCATGTGAATTAACCTACTTGCGCTCCCAGTTATATAACCTTGTTAGTGCCTTTAACTTTCTATTATTAATAAGGTTTTAAATACTTTCTCCCCAAGCTCATTTTGGGCTAACACAGAGATTGCTAGTCTAATGTAAAAGCCTGTTTTTTTACATTTGAAACCAGGGGTTCTCATGTGTCCTCTTTATGTATTTGCTTGATCTCAAACTACTTTTTTTTTTTTTGAGACACTACACCTATGAAAAATCTGGTAGCCATTTAGGCTGAAAAGAGGTTTGTTTCCTTGATTAACAGCGATAATAGAAGAGGTTGCTACTGCTGGGAGGCCAAATCCCCTTACGAACTATATTCTTGGTGCTGGATGAGACCAGCCTCATCCTTGACTAGAACAATCAAGGAACCAAAGTCCACAGGTTGGTCAAGCACAGTGGCATCTCAAGGGGGGTGCAGCCCGCACCCGGGTGACACCATTGGAGGAGTGACACCAAAATGACTGTCATTTTGGTGTCTCATCTCTGAAAATGTGGGTGCTCGGTCATGGACCGAACTCCCAACAGTATCAGGAGAGAGCGAGGGGACACGGCGGCATACCTTATCCCGCCGGGTGACTGTCCCCTCCTATCTGCCAGCGTCCATCACCAAGATGGTCGCCGGCAGGTATCAGAAGATCGCCGTGAATGCGCGACAAGGTCATCACGCACAGTGACGTCTCGGCGAGTGGGCGGGGTGACACCCGGTAACCGATCCGGGTGTCACCCAGCCTCTGGACGCTCACGGTCAAGCACTTTAAAAGTTTATTAGTGTAACTAAAAAAAAGTATTTACTGCAAGCACAAGCCCCCCTTCTCCACCCAAGTGTCAGGCTGTTCTAATGGGCAAAGGGATTAACCACTCTTCTGACTCCTACAGCTCAACATGCTAATACACATAATATGCAACACAAAAGTGTAATTCGGCCCCAACAGGAAGCTAAACTCCTGTGTGCAACACAAGAACAATACTATCACTGTATAAATCAGTTTTAAGCAATATATAAGAATTGGAAAGAGGCAAAAGGCAAACAAAAATAGGCAAAAAATAAAAAATCAGGAGGACACAGGAAACAAATGAAATAATGTTAATACACAAATACAAAACTCTTCCAGAAAAGAAATGGGCAAATTGAGTTCTGTTTTCAGGGTCAAAACAATATGAGTCTCTGTAGTAAAAAATAATTAAACCGGTTTAGTCATAGGTTGGACTTGATGGACTTAGGTCTTTATTCAACCTCAAATACTATGTAACTATATGTAACTATGACTTTAAAACAAAAGCAACCTATCTTACAACTCAAATAGGTGTACAGTGTTATAAGGAGGATTTTAAGGATATTTATAACATTTATTACATTTTTGATAGACATTTTCATGATCTCATCTAAGAGTCATGGAAGATGCTAATATCAATGTTCCAATCTTGGTATCCCTAAAAAATAAAAACGTTTAATAGCTTAAAGGGCACTGCAAAAAAAATTTCAAAAGGAGCTTTTAAGTTCAAAAGATTGTACTAAATAACAATGGGGCATCTATAGTGTATAGGTGAAGGCAGAATATACCACCACCATAGGGAAGCATTTGCACAGGATGGGTAGTTAAAGGCAAAAAAAAAAGTCACCTATAAATGGGAGGTGCATCACTGTCCATTCAGGTAAATTTACAGTTTAATTCAGCCAGAAAGTATAGCTCGTACACTGCATAGGTGTCATTTATCCACCCCTCTCCTTTGTCCATTCACAGAATGCCTTGTATTCTGTCAACGGTTCACAGAACACAAGACACTATGTGAATGGGCAAGAGGAGGGGGGGGGGGGGCAAACAGCAAATTTTTTTTTTTACGAGTGAGTGGGGAGGAGAGGGGGGGGGGGGGGGGGTATAAACATCGCTGTGGCTTCTGTGTACAAGAGCCACGGAGTGCCAGAAGTATAAAGAGTTAACTAAATTGTCTGGGTAAAAATGTAAATTTGCGGGATAGGACAGTGTTCCTGGCAATGGGATACAGCTCAGTGGGAGTAAACTTTTTCTTTTACATAACAGTAAAACTAAAAGGCTGATTACCTGGAGTTTGGATTTTAGGCTATAGAAGTCTTTAATGTATTGACAAATATGTATTGTATTTGACAAGACAGTACTTATTTTTAAAAATGTTTTTATTACAACCAATACCACCTACAGTTCAAAGATAGTATAGAACCATTTTAGTGGAAGAAAATGATCTCATTGTCTGTAAGGGGTCAGGAAAGAAACTTATTCACCTGTGAAGCAAATTTGGCCCTAGTCACCAAGGTCTGTTTGTTTTGTCTGCATATAGACCAAAGCTAATGTACTGCAAGAGAATAAACTCATCGGGTTAACTATATTAGCAATCTGCATCTATAGAATTAACATTTAATCTAGCATTCATCAGAATTTTGCACAAATTGTTACATAAAAAAGTAAATGAAGAAAAAAAAAAAAAAGGAAAAGATTTAGTTTCAGGCTTGCAGGCGTTATGAAAAGCTTGGTCAGATTTCACCGTTTTATCGCACTGCTCATCTTCTCACTTGAACTTCTGTCCCTTACTCTCCTCATTTTGTTTTTCAGTACAAGCAAAGATTTCAGGATAGTAGTCACCCGAATGCTAAAAATAGGCACAGTCTCCACAGACAATTACTTTTAATGGAATTCAGAGGAGCCAAGAGTGAAAAGTATTTGCAAATGCAAAAGAAAAAAAAAAAAGGGATTTTTTTAAAAAAATGTTCGAAAGATAAATCCAAACAAAAGAAAAAAATATGTTGAACACCTACATATGACATTTTTGCCAGGATTCCTAAACGGCCCCAACTTAACTAAATGACTGAATAACCACAAGAAATTACAGTGTTCATGATTTAGGTCTCATGCCAAATTCTAGTGATGCATCATGGTACAGATACTGAGAATTTGCACAAATACTTGTACATGTGCAAATTCTCTGATAAAAGAACCAGATAACAGTGCTTTAATTATTTAAACTGAAGCAGCTACCTTAGGTCCCGTGCTTGCTGGGGACCTCACGGCAGCCTTCTTAGCAACCAAGCTTTTCCGCTGGCCCACACCCGAGACCCTCCACATGTCTCCCCCTCCTGAGGACCTCCACACATCTGACCTTACCCCCGAGACATCTGGCCAGCACCCTGAGCAGAGCAGCAGCACAGAATATGTACCGGCATTGGTGTAGCAAAACTGGGGTCGCAGCTAGGTTTTGGTATTGAGTACTTGAGGAAGAGTATCGGTACTCTTACTCGTTCTGGTATCAGTGCATCCCTGGCAAATACAAGTAATTTTGGTAACTGTGCCCTGCACTATAATGCGCAATGAGTAAAGAATACTATGGCAATTACAGCAGAGTAGAAAAAGTTAACCTTACACTATTTTAAAATATAGTATGTTAGAGAATTTTCTAAAGGACATAATAAAAAAAAAAAAAAAAGGAGTATCTATAGGTATTAGATACCCCATCATATAGCACGTCCAGTTTCTGTATCTTTAAGCAATGCCTGAGTTACCAATGAGAGTTTCACACATTTTTAATGGTCTGCAAATAACAGCCCACTGTGTCACCACAGAGAGCAGCTGGCTCCAGCGTTTAGTTTTACTTAACATTTAATGTCAATCACCATAACTTAACCCTTAATAAATGGGGACACATTATCTCAATTATTACCTGAGAGTTCACATAACTCCACTCATATATAGAGTCTACGGATTTAATACATGTGCTTCCCCACTTCTACACCAACAGGTTCCTTTTAGGAAAAAATTTTCCCAGCAGCACATTTTACTTGTATTAAGCAAAACATCCCACCGACATTACCAAGCACATTCAACATTTTCCAGAAAGCCAGCCCCAGACAGACTTGCATCCAGTACCCCAATAGCACTTTAGTGAAGCATTGATGAAGGTGTAATAAAAAGTGACAGAGTGTGTGAGTGTGTGTGGCTACAGTTCTCAAAATGAGCAATTTGCATTAAAGTACAACACAACATATGTTGTATAATATGCATATGTTGTGCTTAAGAAAATGGTACAGGACCTAGTTTTTGTCTGTTGAAGTGCACTGATAGGCTGCCTAACACATGCCTTAATGACATGTCACTTGTCTTAATGCTCAAAAAAAGCGTGCGTGTTGTAGCACACTGTTATGCTGTAAACGGGCCCTTTTAGTCCTGACCATTAACAAAAGAAATATACTCAAGATTACTTTAATGTAGCTCGCGGTATACTGAGCTTAGGGTAACGGGAGGACGCTAGTTTGTGTCCTCCCGTTACCCTAAGGAGAAGTTCTCCTTTAATGTATTCAAGAAACATGCTCAGGAGCTTGCTATTGTTTCTTGCAAGTCAGCAATTTTTACCTGTGAGATCACATATCTAAATCAAGAGTACAACCCTGGCAGCCATAAAGAACTGATAAATTTACCCCTAAAGAAGTGGGGGGGTTAACCTACACTACTGAGGCTTTTTTTTAATGTTTTTTTCAGAGGAGACACAATCTATTCAGTAACATATTTCTGAATCCCTTTGGCAACCATTGTTTAAATCTTGCTATAAAGCAACCACATGTATTTATAAGTACATATGGAGCAATAATTTAGATTTCATTAGTAACTATACTGAAAGAGCAACAGTTTCAATACTTGGCTGCCGAGTGAACAAAAATATCCAGATAAAAGGTGAACACAAAGACCCAAAACTGCAGCAATTACCTGGTCTTGGCACCGGCTGTGCGGCAGGAGTCTGAGTCTTCCTGGCAGATGCACCTTCCTGTAAATAAATATGAATAATGTTTAAGAACAGAAAACTATCCTGAATCACATTTTAAAAAACTTAAGCGAAAATACACAGATTTGTCATGAAAACATTTAGTAGGATTGACCAAAAATGTATTACACATGCACATAGTTGACACATATCTACACATATGGGTGATATCTGGCTAATCTGGCTATATGGATTTCAAACAAAATGATAGCTACTTTACAAAAGAAAAAATCCTGACCTATAAAAAGCATTTAAAAGTAAAACTTAAATACAATTTACACATTTTAATTACATTCTGCATTACAAAACTAGTTTACAGTTTCATTATTCTAAATGGTAGGGGGGGAAAAACACTACAGAACATTTACACAATATTGTATACTGGTTCAATAAAAAAATAGCTTAAAATGTCAGTCTGTATAAAAGAACTCCACCGATGGCTTAAAGTGATAATAAAGTCAAAAGGATTTTAAGCTATTTCAAATGCTGATGAAAATCGCTTACAATGAATGCCGCTTCTTGATGTTTAAAAGTTAAATCTCATCTCACGGACAGGAATACTTAAGTGTCCATTACTCTCTTATCCAGCTATTATCCTAGAGCAGGGGTAAGCAACCTGGACACCTCAGCTGTGCTGAAACTACAAATCCCATTGTGCCTCCAATAGTCATGCCTGTGACCGTCCGATTTTTTTGCAATGCCTCATGAGTGCCAGCTTCTGGGGCAACAAGGAATAAGGCAAGTCATTCACCTCACGTCAGCCCCTAGACAAAACAAGTACAGAGAGGGCCCCACTGCAAGGGTAAACAAGTTACTGGAGAACCCGTTCATACATACTGCAGCGACCCAGAAGTGATGGGTGATGCGCTGCAATAAAATGCAAACATGTTGCATTTTATGGCAGTGCACTGGATGTCACTATAGTCACCCCACTGCTGAGCGGGGACATGAATGAAGTGTGCACACTGTACACTCCACAAAGTAGTAATAAAAAGAAAAAAAGGTAAACAGTGACCGTTTTGCTGTGTCACTGCCGGGAGCTGCCAAAAACACAGACTGCTAAAACACAGCAATTTACCGGACGGGCTAGTGTGAACAGGCACTAAACTATTTGTTCCATAAACATAGGAAAGTATAAAATCTTGTGTGCTGCAGTTAAATAAAACGAAGTGTAAATATTTTGGGTGATGCTCATGGTGTCGTCTTATTGCTTCTTCTTGAACAATCTGACCAAAGTTATTTTTTTGGAGGCTAGTCTACACGTCGAAAAATAAGTACACCATTTGACAGCTCCACTCATAGCTCTCCGAAAGACGACATACTTTCATGTTGCTGTCATGTTTGAGGCACATAAAGAGGCAAAGTGAAAAACCGTGAAAATATGCAAAATTAGATACACATATCAAGACTACACGACAATCCACAGTATGGAATATATTGCTTTATATGCAGGAAGTCAAAAGAGGAATTTCCGGGACAAAATACCAAATCACCTAATTACTTTTAGGTAAATGTTACAATAACACAAATGTGCACTCTAGGAAAATACACTACACATGATCCAAAAATTATTACTGCGGTGTACTCATTCCAACTAAATTTTTCCTCATCTGCTTGAAGTTGCATAAAGTTGCCATCATGTATGCACTATATTCATTAGACTTCAATGAGCACATTTTCAGCTGTGGCATGCTCACTCACTGTGCGCCTAACATTTATCTGCAGCTAAAGTAGATCTCTAGCCAAAACTATTTAGGGAACATGCTATCGGGCTTTCATTGCTGCCTATCTTCAACCTCTCCTTCTCTGTCCTCATTGTATCTAGGACAGAAAGTGCACTATTTTTTGTGTTTGCAATGAAACAGAACGCAGGCAAAGTTTTGCCACGCGTCCAATCACATCGTTCTAGAAGCTGTGCCATTGAATTCAATGCACCGCCACGCCCCCTCCCACCCCAGAACGCAGGGGGAAGTTTCGCGAGGGATCACGGTGTGTTCCAGCAGCTACCGCTCTGGAACGCACCGCATTTGGTGTGAGCAAGCCCTGAAGCATATTTTTAAAGTTCTGAAAAGCAATAAAGAAATTACTTTATTGCTTTCCAAAATTGCTTTAGAAGCAAAAAAAAAAAAAAAGCAATTTAAAATATTGTTTAAAGCAATATTTTTAAAGTTTTGGATAGAGTAGGAGTTAATATTTGTAACACTTTCATACTTCTCTTTGTAACACCACTGGGGGGATTGTCACCTCTGATTCCTGTACAAGCCATGGAGATGGGGGGAATCAGGAGAAGTATGGTAGAGGAGGTGACCTGCTCCCCTTAGAGCTCAGCTAAGTGATAAGCCCAAACACGGTCTGCTCCTCGGGAGCGCCAACACAGATAATCTCAGAGCTGGCTGTGGAGAAACAAGGAGCTGGGAGAGAGTGCAAGCAAATATAGGTAGGGATGCACTTTGCACATTACCACTGTGCACTGGGGCAGTGTCTAAGCATGATGTAGAAACCAAATAGTTACAATGCCAGAAAAACAAAATTAATTTCATATTATAACACTGTAAAATGTGTGACAGTCAAAGGATATGAATATTTATGCAACCAACTTTAAGGGAAATTGTTGCATACTTAGGCTATGAGGTAAAGACGACAGCCACGCATGCATGCAAACGTCCCTATAGAACTGGACGGCAATATGCTGCGGTGCGCATGTGCGCACAATCAGAAATACGCACAAACGGCAGGCGCACGGGAAGTGACAACAGGCATTAAGGAAATGACCTATGTAAACGAGCCTGCCCTGCTCACTTTGCTGATGGTCTTTCAGCTGTGTCTGTTTGTTCCCTGTGCCCGTAACTCGGATTGTTTGGACTCTTCTTGATTGCTGCCTGCCCCTGACCTCAGCCTGGACTTGTTTATTGCCTCATGATTTTGAACCTTGCTGCCCGGCTGACTCGGATCCCTCGGCTATCCTCGACTCTGTTCCTGCTTCCTGAACTGGCTGATCCGCTTCTGGACTTTCCCGCACTTGCGCCCACCTGTGGCACTTGTGCTCCTTGCTGTCCCTTCACACCCTGTTCTCACCTCCAGGGGGTGTAGGACACGAGAAGTAAGAGAAGCCTCCTCAACTAATCGGTCTCTCACCAGGTACGCAATGTAGGCATAACAAACTGTGAAAGATCTTAGAAGCATCTTAAATTGACGTCTAAAGCCGGCTGTATTTTCCCACCAACACAAACCCAAAGTCTATAGACAAAGGCCTTTAAAAGATATTTCAAATACAGGTGGAATATGTTGGCCAACTTTACCTGGAACTTTCTGAAGTCTCTTAAGGCCCATAGGATCCTCCTACTAGAGGGCATTTATACACACATGCAGAGCAAAGCAACATTGTCAATTTGCCCATCGACAATGGCCTTTAATATGAGATTTCAAATACTAGTGAAATGCATTGGGAACGCTCACCTGCAAATATCTGATGCTTCTTAAGACCAGTAGGATCTCCCTACCAGAGGGCATTCATCCAGGCAGGGCAAAGCAATGGGTTCATTTTAAGGCAGACCCCCGCAGACACAGACTTACCTTCTTTTCACTCCCCTGCCACTTAATTCAGCCACCAGTATTCAGTAAAAGAAAAGCCCTGAGTAAGCTTAATGTTGCAAACATGGACAGGGCTACCGACAGCCATACCAAATAGCCCAGTCACATGAAGCAAATCACATGCTCCTTCACATGCAGAAGTACTGCATATTTCCCACAGCTTCTAGCACTGAGCAGCGGGAGAGCAAAGGTAAGTATATGCTATAGGAGATGGGGGATTTAAAGCAAAACCTGAATAGGTAACACAATGTTGCTTTAAGGGTTAAAATTTGGGTAAAAAAATAATGTTAAATGAATATTTACGCACCAAAAAGAGTTCATATTCTGGTGCAATAGTATTAAAAAACCCCAAAAAAAAAAACCCAAAAAAAAACAAGGTTGGTTCTAGTGGTCAACTGTATAATGCCACAAAACCTACAAGTGAGAAAAGATTTCCGAGAATAACAATGCTACTGGGAAGATACGTGTCATTTATTTCAGTCTCTAGAAACATTAAAAAATATGCAGCAGGTAATGCGAGTACGCAAGCGCTGGCAAAGGCGTTTACACATACTATGGGGCATGCAAACGGCATAGGTCATAAATAAAGTGCATGTTTAAAAATGAAGAGCCATTTGCTTAAGTACATAATGAACTGAAACCACTGCAATACATTTTGCTCATCATTTAAAAAGAAAACAAAAAAAAGAAAAAACAAAAAAGGAATGGCCAAGTCACTGATTGCATAGTGCATATAAGCATATCACATTGGAAAGGTTAAACACAGCTATTTTATATATTCAAGGATCCAGTCTCTAATGATCCTCATAAGTAGAAAGCATAGGGGCTGGCTGCATCCAGACCAGGAGCTATGAATGCAAACTTGTCACGTGAGTGTTATCCAGGCTGTGACGTTAAATTCAGCTCTGTCAGAAGACAGCATAAGTCAAAGCCCACATATAAACCACTGCCTCCTAGAGAGGCAGAAGCAGCCTGGGAAGCTGTCTTGCTTCTCTAGACCACAGCCCTCCCCCCTGCAAGAAGCTCCGTCTTCTTCTCAAGCTGCCTAGCAACAACAAAGGAGGTAAAGCCTCTCTACTATTTAATTCAACGCGACTACTATGTTCTTATGGTGTTTTCTCCAACATTGCATAGATCTGCCAGGGCTGGCATGGATACAGATGGATGAAAGCTGCGTTAGGGACAAAAGAGGAGATCTGTAAAAGATTTCACTACAGCTGGAGCGACCAGAAGGCCATCTGGGTGTGCACAGAGGAAAAATGCTGGAGAAATTTTCATTCCCCATCTAGAGGAATAAGCATAATGCCCCTGACTGGAGCAGGCGAAAGGGCAAGCTGCATGCAGACGGACAGCAGGCACAAGCATTCACAGAAGAGAGATTATTGAAGTGCGCATGTTTCTGCTCAATTCTTTTGACCAAGCGATGACATGCCAAAACTATCTATCTTTCAATAGCTGTATTCCTACAACAATGAATGTGTTCAGTAAAACACAGGTATGTTTACATTATGATTGTCCGCATTTTGATTTCAACGTTTTCTGGGGAGCGTTTTCTGGGGTGGGTAAAGTGGCATATTAACCATATTTCCTTGTGCGTTAAACACAACCATTAATGCGATGATATTAAATGTGACAGACAGCTACAAAACTACATTAATATGGGAATCTGGTAGGGGAGGAGAAAATCTGCAATATGAGATGAAATAAATCCCTTTCAAACTAGGTCATATTTAATCCTTATCTGAAGTAATCTCCTGTCTGATGGCCCTAGCATTCTGTTGAGATCAGTGCATCATTAAAATAGATGCCAAATCAAAGCATAAGAACTGAAAAACATTTGCATTGTAGTTACTAAATATTATTGTTCCATCTAATGCAATTAGTTTCAAGTGACAGCATTGCTGAGGACACTTCTGGAGGAAAATATAAAAAAATCCGAGCTTTATTTGCATGTAAAACACTGCAGGAACTGCACTCATTCCTAATGTTTTCAAGGCACTATAAATCACGCAAGTATGGCCAATATAAAATGTGCTTACTTAGCCCTGGGCACTGCAAGCTGGTAATGAAAATGGGTTTACGGTACAAAATTCAGAGGCTGGGGAGGGATATTTGGAACACAGGTTAAGCTGGTCAGGGGGAAAAAATAAAACATTTTGATGCAGATCTATATATCTTGCATGGCAACCATGAATAAGTATTCCGAGACTTGCAGATTGTTAAAGGGACCCATTTATTCTGCATGGCCTATTTCAACACAGTGAATGTAACAGCCAAATGCTGAGCTGATTCAACAACTACCATTCAAGCAATATAAATTCAGAGGGGGTGTATGCATGGAAAGAACACCCGCAAGGCTTTTCTCAATGAAAGTAATTAAAATAGCATTAATTAGCGAGAAAGGTACAGCATGATTTTTTTTATTATTTATTTTTAACTACCATAAATGTATCATCTAAAGACTTTAAAAACTATAGATTCTATTTATATAGTATTAGTATAAGGTATTCCACAGCAACTTACAGAGTACATGGGACTATTCACATTAGTGCCTGCCCAAAGGAGCTCACAATCTAATAGTCTTAAAACAGTCACACACACCTTAGGTGTTTTTATGTGCCTGAAATAATATCACATCTTTTTTTATTCGGTCTCTTTTCTCCAGTGAGAGATGGGCCCTATCTATATCTTTAACGTTAACAATATTAACACCACAGGTTTTATAATGGGCATTAAACTGTTACATACACTTTACTAAATCTTTCTTGCGGTTTCAGATTATAGAACCATCCAGGACAGTAGGAAAAGCTTGCTTTACTGTATTACCATAACATATACCTTTGTAAGATGCGTGCAACACTGAACATGTTGAAAGTTGGATACAGGTCAGGCAGTAGTCCTGAAATGTGTTTAGAAATAGTTATGGGCCACCCACTAGTTAACTATATCTATTAAAATGAGACATTTGTAATGGTTGAAGATGTTCACAGTGTGGACTTTTGTGTTTGGAGCAGTTACTTCCAGACGGTGGTTAACAGAATTCATTCTAAAAACAGATTGACCTGATGCAGAGATAGATGTATGAAAAAACATGCCACTGGCTCCATCTAGAGGAACGATCATTTAAAAAGGAAGGGGATACATCTATCAAGCATTCAAAACTTTATTGATTTACATGTAAATCATACTGCTCTCTTCTTGTTACCACTATGGTTTAATGAATGCTAATGCGACTTGGTCCAAGACATCAAGCTAAATTGTTTTAAATTAAGAAAAATGCCATTAAGAGACTTAAGGAGGTTACTAGCCCTGAAAATACATTCTGACAATTGAATCTTTTCATTGACTTTTCAAACCTGTCACTGTCCGTGGGAAACAAGCTAAGCAATGTACTGTAACAAATACAATGTGACATCAAAACAACCTTTCTGCAACCTGTACATGACAATTTCTCCTCCTGAGCCCTATGTCACCATTTTAGGTAGACTGAAGTCATGTATGCAATCCTGGCAGTCAGAAAATATAGATTTGTGAATGACCCTATAAAAAGCAATTAACTATACATGGATGTTCACAGTCATTTTCTTTCTTTTTACAGATTTTAGAAGAAATGGTTCATCCAACAAAGAAAAATGAAGAAAGCCACTGAGATATAATAGACTGTCCTACTACTAGGTTGGGATTGATAAACTGAAAATTAGTGCAGATGCAGTATAACTGCACTGGGATTTCAAAAGCATGCTTCAGTGGAGGAGACGTCATTGCTGCCTTGGCAAAATGACCTGGAATAGTAAAAGGTCACTTTTTCGCACCCATCTCACAGGGCTTTTATCACTCGTGTTTCTGTTCGCCACTTTGCTGTTCTGTAACCATCACAATTCATTCACTGGTAGAGTTGGACTAAAAGAGAACCCAGTGACGCATTCAATTCGTGGATTCAAAACAACCAAAACTGATACCAACAGCTCACTAAGGAATATCTGGAAGGATGCCATTCCACAAACATGGAAGCCTCACACCACATTTAACCTAAGTAACACGGAGTCACAACAACAAGGTGTTACGGGCCTGGAGAATACTTTAAGCACCAATGGAAGTGTTTACAGTGAAAAGGGCTGGGGTCAACAAAATGTATACCATTACAAGTATATCATTAATGAGCCAGAGAAATGTCAGCAGAAAAAGCCTTTCTTAATACTCCTCATAGCTGCAGAACCAAGACAAATTGAAGCGCGACAGGCTATTAGGCAGACATGGGGAAATGAAAGCCTTGCACCAGGAATCCAGATTGTAAGGCTGTTTCTTCTGGGCTTACACACCAAGTTAAATGGGTTAATTGAACAGGCAATAGTGGATGAAAGCAGGCAGTATCATGATATCATTCAGCAAGAATACTTAGACACTTACTACAATCTCACCATTAAGACACTTATGGGTATGAACTGGGTAGCAACATACTGCCCCCACGTTCCCTATGTCATGAAGACAGACAGTGACATGTTTGTTAATACAGAATACTTGATAAACAAACTGCTGAAGCCAGACCAACCACCGAGAACCAACTATTTTACAGGGTATTTAATGAGGGGCTATGCACCCAACCGTAACAAAGACAGCAAGTGGTACATGTCCCCAGACCTGTATCCAAGTGAGCGTTACCCTGTGTTTTGTTCTGGAACAGGTTATGTTTTCTCTGGAGATCTAGCAGAAAAAATATTTAAAGTCTCCTTAAGTATTAGACGATTACATTTAGAGGATGTGTATGTTGGTATCTGTTTAGCCAAGCTGCGCATTGACCCTATACCCCCACCAAATGAATTTGTATTCAATCACTGGAGAGTTTCATATTCTAGCTGTAAATATAGCCACCTAATTACCTCTCATCAGTTCCAGCCTGGTGAATTGATTAAATACTGGAATCATTTACAACAGAATAAGCACAATGCCTGTGCCAACGCAGCCAAGGAAAAAGCCGGTAGGTATCGGCACCGTAAAATGCACTAAAAAGGACAAAAGTGAAGACTAGGAAAATATTGAAGTTGGAAATATGAACGCATGTACAGTGACACACAAGTGAGATGTAAATGGAGTGAAAAATTATTTTTTTATTTTTAAAAATATATTTAAAAAAACTTGTTTGGGGAAAAAAGATGAACAGAAAAAAAACTAATGTGAGGAAAAATGTGTGTTTATTCTGTGCAATAAGAAGCATGCACACTTCTGTGGTATACCTGATATTTTACGTGCCAATAAAATATGACTGAACACATTTTTCATACAAAATACGGAGCAAATATTTGTGGTTTATTTTTTATAATACATTTTCTATGTGTAAGGTTTAGGACCTTTTCGCAAAACTGGATCTCCAAAGATAATTCTATAAAGCATATACTACTAAATAAGACTTTCATTTCAAGCATTATCACATGCTACAGTGTGGGACACTGAGCTGGTAGTAATGTCAAATATGTTCCCTTTGAACATTCAAGCAAAGCGTTTCCTTATGATTTTGCCACTTAATTCAAAAGTGAACAGAAATAAGTGCTCACACATCTTTAGGTTACCATATCTTTTCACTCTAAAACCAGTAATAAAGTTTGCATTGCTGAAGTCTGACACTGCTCCAGTAATGTTTTTATCAAATATCTAAGAAAAGACACATACCCTCCCCTACAGAACCACCAGTGTAAGGTACAACCTTGCAGGCTGTAACCCTAAGACTGGATGGCACTGAAGCCCATATCAGTTGCACCACAATGCAAAGTGCCTAAAAAAAAATGATTAAAAAAAAAAAAAAAAAAAAAAAACCTAACCTTTGCTAAATCTTGTGCCAGGTCGCTTCTTCCTAAAGGCACATCTATCGTGGTTTGATGCAAACAAGTGATGTGAGCAGTTCTGGGAGACTGCCACACTGTCATTAACCAATCAACTCTTACCCAATAAGAAGTATTTAAGTCATACTGTATACAATGTAATAATTTCTACCAGTGTAAAGCCGATCTGTCAAAAAGATCTCATATCTAGATATATAGATCTCTCTCTATATATATCTAGATATACATATATATATATAGATATATCTATATAGATATAATATAGATAGATAGAATAGAAAAGATATATCTAAATAATGCCTAATACTGTTGAAAATGAATTCTAAAGATTGGTATATGAAATGGTATATATTGGTATATGATACTGGCAAGCCTATGCAGGCCATAAAGGTAATGTGTGTGGCAACCACCTGAATGCCCCCATCTCCGATTAGATATACAGAGCATGTAGCAAGTCCAGCTACATTACATGGCATTCTCTAGAAGGTTACAAACTTAACTGGGTATACAGCTAAAAACAATCAAAATAATAAGCCTAGTTAAATAATCTAACTGCAGTAATTAGACGTAAGAGCCAAGTAATGCCTCAGATTCCCAGCATCATTCATTACAATGAGTCATAGATTCAGCTCCTCTTTGGCTTTGTATAGGTACCATTTACTCCCCAAATATAGAACACCAAATGGAATTTTCCAGCAAGAGATGACCCAACACAAGACGTAGAAAGAAGGTGAACCAGAAGTGGAGAACAGCAGAAGGAATATTTTAATTTAAAAAAAAAAAAAACATTTACTAGCGGGTAAATCTTTTAATGAACTTAAATTAGCCAGGTCAAGGAGCAGGTGGTACCCTGTTTCCCCAAAAATAAGACCTACCCCGAAAGACCTAGCACTATTTTTCAAGATTCCTGTAATACAAGACTTACCCCGAAAATAAGACCCGGTTTGGTGGTAGCATGTGAGGGGGAACTTGCAGGAGACATGGTATCAGCCTGCAGGGACATACTGTATCAGGGGATGACAGGGGACTCTCTCCAGACAGCGCAGTGACAGGGAGCACTCCAGTACCATACTTCACCAACTGCTGTCCCCCTGAAGGCACTGCTTAATGTAATGGTACTGTAATGTGTACTGGTAAATGGTACTGTACTTCACCGCACTGTTCACTGTCTGATGTCCCCACTGCTGCGCCGCTGGTACCACTTTCCCCTGTAGCGAAGGAAGCCGGCGCTGTAGAAAGCAAGGCTGCGGCGGCGGAGGGAGCAGAGCCGCATTAGCCAATACTTCCTCTATAGCGCCAGTTACTGTGACAGGCAGAGTGATACCAGATAACTTTAGATTGTTGTACATTTTGTTGCACATTAAAAAATTAAAAAAAGACATCCCCTGAAAATAAGACCTAGTGTGGTTTTTGGGGGCTAAAAAAAAATATAAGACCGTGTCTTATTTTCAGGGAAACACAGTAGTTACAATAATCGGCCACCCAACACCTGCTGCCCCTCTTAGGCCTTAAGAAGTCTTCTTTCATTAATTGCTATATATGCTCAACCAATTTAAAGTTAGGAATCTTTTCAGAGCCATCTTGAGGCAGCAATGTGGCTTCACATTTATCAACAAATGTATGGAACAAAAACCTCTGCTTTTCAACTGGAAAAACACACACACACACACGGTTCAGACTAGCTGGAGAAATTGCTGGAGAACATTTGTATTGTTCTGGTATCAGCATGCCAGCATTTCAGCCAATAGACACGCTACCGCTAAACCTCTGGCTTGAGCGCAAGGCCGCAATTCATTTTTACATAAGCTTGCACAATCAAACCTGCTGGACATAAATATTTATGCCCAGGACACACATTTCCGGGAACAAATATAATACCATGGGAGCAATAGAATGAAGCTATACTATCTGCACAGGTGAAGGCTGTTCTTTATTCAATTAAATGTTTCCTCAATGAAACACTGGATTGGGCAACTATCTTAAGCTGGCCACACACCTCACAATTTATCTGCAGATTTTCTGTGGTCAGATGGAAAAGGTGCAACAGATTCCTCCATCTACACTTCACTGTGTGGATGTAGTAATCTCCACCTGGGCCAATCTGTTGCACTTTTTCCATCTGACCACAGAAAATCTGCAGATAATTGTAAGGTGTGTGGGCACCTTTACATTTGTTGGTTAATTTTTTGAGACCTGCTCATTTCTTTTGCTTATAGGATTGAAAATCCTTAAAGCAAGGAGCATTTTAGATTTATCACAGCTTAAAATAAGAGAGTGAAAATTAAAATTACTAAAACATATAGCCCCAAAACTAGAAGCCATAACCTACCCAAAAGTGATGTTTTAGTCAAACCATAGACAAATCACTTTAACCGAGGATAATAAATGCTTGTGGCCATTATTATCTAGCCAAAAACTTTTCCCCCTAGAGCTTAGAACCCATTCACACCGGGGCAGTTGCGGAACAGCGCGGATTTTAAAAGAGCGGTTTAGCACTGAAACGCAATTTAAAAAACGCCCAAAACCGCACAGTTCCATTGAAAGCAGTATGGATACCACGCTAATCAGTGCGGCAAAAAAGGGTCAGGGAGCAATTTGGGCGGCAGGACGTTCAGATCGCTCAGAGCCATGCGCCGCACGGTTCCCATAGCAATGTATGGGATCGTTCATGTCGGCCAAACCACCCTGTTGTGAACGGGGCCTTAGTGTCCGTGAACCGAAAGATAATATTTGAACAGCAGGGAAAGCATAATGAGTTTAGTAACCAAATGAAATGGAAAATCTCTTAAGAGCTACAGAAACAAGCTCTCCAGGTAATAAAATCAAGGTCCTGTTCCTTCCCAAGATGCATGAAGACCTGAAATGCAACATCTGAGATGCCCCAACAGAAATCAAAAAGGAGATCAGCAATATCCTTGGTTAGTGACCCTTTAAAAACAGTTCTTAAAGAAGAAGTTGGACTGTATTATTTTTCGCAGCCCAGTCACCTCCCACAGTACATGTATGAGGCTTTTTATCCCTTGCTTTTGTGTGTAGGAGAAACCGAGATGCAGAGTTTGACAGTTCACTCCTAATTTCTGACCACAATCTGCAAAGAACACCGGACTCTTCTTTGAAAGCTCTCATCTCACAGTCTCTGCAATTTCCAGACACAAGCTAGGCCACACACCTAGGAGAGACTTATTTTTGTTGGGAAAGAGAAGAGACATGAAATTAATATGCATTACATATTTTTCACTAACGACTTGACCAATGCAGAGTCTCAATAAAACGCTGCATCAAAAATGTGCCAACACACAATCTTGACAGCATAGAGAGCAGGTATTCAGCTGAAAAAAGTCAGCTAGCAAGGGAGCTTTTTAACCAACCTCTCTTTACACTTTGTTGATTGCTCTTTTACTTTATGTAAAATGTTAAGACAAAAAAGCCTATGTCCCCATTTAGGTACTTTTTTTTTTTTCTTCTTGCAATTGTTTAAACTGAAATTCATTCAGAATTTCTTGGCCACAAAATATACATTAAAACTCAACTCCAGGCAGACATAAAAAGGCACATATTAAAAAGGGCATATTTCTATTTATAAATACATTGCTAAAGGGATTTTTTTTTTTTTTTAATGGAAGCAGTGTAAATACCTTAATTTGACTTGTTCGTGCCTGAACAGCAAAGCTCAGACAGAAGAAGTAGTACAAGGAGCCACTCAGGGACACGCTCAAATGAGAAAAAGAGCTGACAGATGAGCTCATTAGTCTGCTGCTTCTCCTTCACTATCAAGGCACATGGTGGGGAGACCACCTGTAAGAGAAATTGCAGGAGAGACCGTTCAGGGACTTTCCTGTGCCAGACAAGTCTGCTGTGTGGCAGAGCAGTGGAAACTGGGACAGAAACCCCATCCGTTGGCAAATAAAAAAGCTCCCATATAAATTTTCCATCTGTGTATTAAGCGGTTTACCTTTTGCTTCATGAAGGGAAATGCGTATCACAATATTCTTTACAGCAAAATAAAATAGTTCAATTCTATGGGGTTTTTTTTCCGCTACCTCCATTCATATATTGAGGGGGGGAAAAAGGACTCAACCATCATGCTAACTGGTTATCCTAATGAATACATATTTTCCCTTAAAAAGTTTATTTCAATTCCTGCTGTTATTTTACAACAGCATACACAAAGAAATTAGAAAAAAAAAAAATGTACACACACACACATTATACACAGTGTGCGTATGTATGTATGTATGTATGTATGTATGCATGCATGCATGCATGTAATCAATTACAAATAAAAGGTTTGTTTTCATCTCATTATAGACTATATATTTAGTCGGTTCGGAACATATGCAAAGCATGAAATTACATATAAATGGTTTCACAAGCATATACAGCGTCACAATGGTTGCAGTTGTATGTACATGCAAATTAGTATTCAAACAACTTGCTTTG